CTTTCTCTAAAAGCCAGCAGGAGGGAGAGGAGAAGAAGCCAGCTTTCAGCTGCTGCAGAAAGAGCCATACAGGGGATTGCTTCCAGTGATTGCCCCCCCTGCCATGCCAATCTTCTTCCTGCCCACAACCGATTCACCCACCGGCCTGGGCCCTCCTGCTGGCCTGGGCCCGTACAGGAGGACTGGTGGTACCCCCTTATTCACAGCCCTGGCTTTAGCAATAACAGGCGAATTCTGATTGGTCATTGTGGCTTGTTACAGTTGAACATTGCATTTTTAGAAGTTCACTGTACCCACAACTGATATTTTCAACTTTTGGTAGATGCTGCAGAGTTAAACCCCTAACAGTGTCTTCTATCCCTCGGGGGGCTTTATTGATGTGATCTCTGCACACTCGCTGTGTCCATTATAAGATACATGCTTAGCTGTGTATATACTCTAAATCTGGACAGAAAAATAAAAAAATGTGTTCAAAAATGTAAATGTTCTTTTGATCAAACGTTTGATGGCCCAATCATTGTATTGAAAAACATTCTGCAACATTCAACATTTTTTTTTAGATCGTTTTCAACTTTAAACATTGTTTATTCCTGATTAATCACTACTACTAACCCTACTGCTCATGCCCAATTCACTTAATTTGTTTTAGAATGACAGACCTACAATTTATTAGAAAATAGTTTGATATGTAAAAAAAACAAAAATTCCAACATGTTCGTCCATTTTCAATCTTGAAATGAAAATCGTTTCCTTGTTTTCTCATTTGGTGGACCTGACTCCTGCATTAAATTTACCAGTGCCTTTGGGCACCCAGTTAGTGTTTGGTCTGCGTTCCCAGGTACAAAGCTAACTATTATTGTAATGCTTGCTTGTAATCTGGAATATCTGTTATTTTCTACTTCAGGTGTTCTTCCCACTTGACACTTGATGATTGCTATTTAAGAATCTATCCATGCATTGTATTTACCCATGCACTAACATAGGTTATGCTTTTTATGTTATAAAAAAATGAATACAAACTTATTGAAATTGAAACAAAATTGACTGTGGCAGTAAGCACTCTAACCATATGAAAATTTGAACAATCGGTTTACTTACTCGATTTTTTAGTTGAGTTTTCTTTCTAGGTATGGAAAGCTTACTGCTAGAGGTTTGCCTAACATATTGAAGGGCAATAGACAAATAGATGGGTATTAGACAGATGGACAGAAAAGAGATAGATAGATAGATAGATAGATAGATATAGAAAGAGATAGATAGATAGATAGATAGATAGATAGAGATAGATAGATAGATAAATAGATAGAGATTGACATAGGGGATTCATTGTTAGCACTTCTGCCCTGCAGCACCAGGGTCATTGGTTTGAACCCCAACAATAATACTATCTGCACATTGCATGGGTTTCCTCCCACACTCCAAAGGCATGCTGGTAGGTTAATTGGTTCCTGTTTAAATTGTCCCTAGTATATGTATATATGTATGTATGTAGGTGAAATAGAGACCTTAGATTGTAAGCTCCTTGAGGGCAGGGACTGGTGGCTGATGTCAAAGTACAATATATGTAAAGAGCTGCAAAAATCGTTGAGGCTATATAAATACTTGTAGTGTGTGTGTGTGTGATAGATACATGATATTTTACCTTATACTACACCACTCTCCACATTATTGAACTCTAATTGTCTGTCATGCATGGTCTAGTATTTCAATTGTCCCATATTTGCCCCTAATTGATGTAAGCTGTATACAGCTTGTAAGGTGTATATATAGGTTAAGGTTTCTGAATGTTCTTGGAGGATATGCTTGGCCCAGAAGTGTGCCTTCACCCAGAGATGTGTATTCCATCCCATTGTGTCCACTTCCCTGCAGGAAATAATGACTGGCTTCTTTAACCTGCTGACAATAGTGTCTACCTGCCTGCCACCCATCTTCACACCTTTCAAGGAACCTTTCACATCTCATTACTTTGATCATCCTGGCTGGCCCTGGGTGTATTTAAAAGAGAGCAGAGTGCCAGTGAGCAGACACAGTGCCCAGTCCAGAGGAGAGCATAGCAGTCCAGAGGAAAGCAAGGAGGAAAGCACAGAGCCAGCTGGAAGATGGCTGGATACACTCAGGACAATGAGGACTACTTCCCAGGTTGCTTTGCATCCAGCCCCAACAATATGGTCTTCACTGAACCCCAGAACCAATATGGTAGTCTCAATCTGGTCTCCCTGCAACAGAATGACTTTGAGTCAGTCTGTGTGAACGGTAAGTATGTTCACTATTCAACCAATACATAATGATGGAACCCTTTGGGTATCTGGCTTAGGTGGAACTATAGGTCTCAGTTGGCTATTCCAGTCTTTATTATTTTTAAAAAGTGTTTTTTGTATACTTATGTTGGACATCTTATGTTTCTCTTGGAGCTTTTAGGCTATAGGTCTTAGCATTACCATACCAGATGCTAGTTTGATAAAAGAAAGTAAGCTGTAAGTTTCAAATCACTCCACCAAAAAGTTTATAGTTTAATTGCTAGCTGGGGATGGCGGGACATCTGAGACTTCTAGCTTACAGAGTACTTGTAAACTGCGATTAATCTGAATTAATGTAAAGTGACACTGATTATGAAAACCAAATTATTATTATTATTCAGATCTGTGTATTTTAAAAAAAAACTTTTTTTTAAAGATTTTAAAGAGAGCAGGGGCGGGTTTGAACCCCTGTCATATTTTTAATACAGTCTGAATCCTCTCTATTTGTCCCGGTGAGCAGTGTCACAGAAGGCAATGGATAATCCAAAAATCTTCAGTTGTTACTGGAATAGAGGGGCAATCTTTCAATGAGGATACTTGTTCTGGTTACAATTGTCTGTCAGGGGAATTCCCTCACTTTGAAGAGATTTTCTTTCACTTACTGTTGTGTCTCTGGGACAAAAAAGAGAGTTTGCTCCCCATAAAAACGTGGCAGCAAAAAACAAAACTGATTCGGGTCTTCATTATTTAATTGTTCCCTACTTTATTGAAAGCTAAAAAAACTATTATATATATATATATATGCCCTAAGTGGAAATGTTATCATATCCTGAAGATAACAATGATCTGTCTTGTGTTTATTCATCAACTTACATTTGAAGGTTATACCCTTTATATATATTGCATTTGCAGGTGGAGTTTAGTCTACCTCATACTGCTTGGGGATTATAGTGGCAAGCCTTTTGTCAACTATAATTCTCAATATTGTCCCTGTCATTCTTGAAATGCATGTTTTTTTGGCATTTCCCATATGGAAGAAAGATACATTTTAAATATATTTGAAAAATGTTCTTCCCAAATATATTGCCATATATTTGAAATGCTAAAATTTTGGCCATATTCAATATATTTCAAAATATATTTCAATAAATATATATATATATATAATATATATACATACTGCATGTTGAAATACGTTTTTATGACAAAATATATGACAAATATTTTTAAAAATACATTTCAAATATACTGTGTGTCTTTAAAAATACAAATCTACATTTCTGGAATGCATTTACAAATATATGTCAAAATATATGTTCAAATTACTTTTTTATATGTTAAACAAAAATATATTTAAAAAATGTATATTTTTAAAAATATATATTTTTTAAATATACTTCAGATTTTTGTAAAAATACAAATCTACATTTCTGGAATGCATTTACAAATATATGTTAAAATTACTTTTTTTATATGTTAAACAAAAATATATTTAAAAAATGTATATTTTTAAATATATATATTTTTTAATATATTCTTCAGATTTTTGTAAAAATACAAATCTACATTTCTGGAATGCATTTACAAATATATGTAAAAATATATGTTAAAATTACTTTTTTATATGTTAAACAAAAATATATTTAAAAAAAAATTATTTGTAAAAAATATATATTTTTTTTAATATATTCTTCAGATTTTTTTAACATATAAAACAGTTATTTTAACATAAATTTTTAAATATATTTGTAAATTGCATTCCAAAAATTTAGATTTGTATTTTTAAAGACATGCAGTATATTTGAAATTTGTTTTTAAAAATATTTTTCATATATTTTGTAAAACGCATCTCAACATGCAGTGTGTGTATATATATATATATATATATATATATATATATATATATATATATATGAATATGGCCAAAATTGTAGCATTTCAAATATATGGCAATATAATTGGGAAGAATATATTTCAAATATATTTTTCTTCCATGTGAGTTAACTGCCACATGTTCCTTCACATACAATGCAACAGGTAGAGTGTTTGACCCAAGAGGGTATTAGGAAATTGCAGTAGCTGGTGTGGAAACCTTACCACCAGAATACCTGGGAGATAGGAGAAACTGTTAAAGGAGACCTCTTTTTGAACACACTAGAGATCTCTGGCTCCAGTGCCTTCTAAGCCACTGACCTGGAACAGACATGCAAACGGTGAAGATGGAAACTTGAATTTCTACATGTGGAATACGTGTAGAAATTCAAGTTTCCATCTTCATCATTTGCATGACCAGAAGTATTGAAGTTATTCAATCAACAGTCAGCTGCTCTCATTCAGTGGGCAATTTCCTAAAACATTTCTTACCTAGCTTGTCAACTATTTTTTTACTTAATTGGTGCTCCAAATTGTTTGTTGTGGTTGCTCACTATTCATGTTGGTGTTTTTAGCTTTGGGCACCCATCATCTACTGTATGTCTGAAGGTATCAGTTTGTGTTGTGTTGTTATGAAGCATCTGTATATACTGCTAATGATGTGATGAGCAAGGCATAATTATTTTATCTACAGAAGAGATAAAGGAACAGGCCACCAACAACCAAGCCCCCACTGAGTCCCCAGCATCAAAGAAGAATGTGACGCATACTAAGCAGGTGGCAGTCACTGCACCCATGGTTATGGAACAAGCAGCTATATCACAGCGCAGGAAGAGGACAGTGTACAGCCAAGAGCAACTGGATGTCTTGGAGGAGTTCTTCCAAAGAAACATGTACCCAGATATCCACCACCGAGACGAACTGGCCAAATTAATTTATATTCCTGAGTCCAGGATCCAGGTATGTGGATAATTGACCGTCAACAATGTGGATATTTCTTGCACAGGCACACAAGAACTCTCCATTTAATTTCTGCTTTTTCTACTTTGTTTTTTTCTTTTCATGTACCTCTTATCCAATATTCTAAAGTCCCATTCTTTACCTCTTCCAAAGCAATTTAATTACATGATACCCCTCCTATTCCAAATGCTACTATATTTTATTGTGGTCTACCTGCAATTGCCTCTCTCCCAATGGTGGCAGTATTATTCTATTTTCACCTACATACATTGGTGGTGTTTTGTTATGTGTCATATGCAATATTTCTGTATTAAGTTTAGAGGAAACTTGTAAGGCTGTAGCATCCTCTTCTCAGGGATACCATCACAGTTGTTCCTGGAGTGAAAGATTTAAATAAAAGAATATGTGTTTATTATATTAGTAAAGTAACTACAAACCCAAAAGTGGTCAGTTCTCTGGGTCGTTGTGTTACTTTGCATAATTAATTTTAATTCACTGGTTTTATTTTATGAAACTCAATCATTTTTTGTTTTTGACAGGTTTGGTTCCAAAACAGAAGGGGAAAGTCCAGACGTGAAAAGGGCAAATCCACTTATTTCACAAATTCAAGTATGAGCTATTCCAACATCCAGCAACCAGAAAATATCTATCCTACAGTATCAACAGCAAAGCATCCAATGACTGCCGGTGAACAACCCCAGGTCATGGTTCCCCAACAACAGCCCATGTTGAATGTACCACAAGATTTGTACAACCAATCTTCAGAGTCTACCCCCTATTCTCATTATTCCTGTCCTGTTCCACAGGAGAGGTTTATGATGCACCAGGCCTCACCCAACATGTGCCAGCAACAAAATTCACAATCTAACAACCAACAGCACTTGTACAAAAGCATGGCTCATGTCATGAGCCCCAAGGCAATGGACTTGAGCAGACGATCTTATAGGCTGCCTACAGAATCTAATTGCATGATCGACTTCAGTAGCTACCCACCCAACAAGACCATCACACCAGAAATGAGTGTCAACATCCCACCAATCCCACCACCAATCCCACCATCTACAGCTACAAGGAACCGCAGTGAAGTCAATCCTTATACAAGGCAAACAACCTACTCAATGTCAACCATGCATGATAAATACTGCATTGAAGGTACTGAGTCCGATTCTGGTGTTAGTGACAGATCTCCAGATTCTGGCTGTGATCCTAAAGAAATCCTCCCTTCTGTTCTCTCTAGACTGGAACTGCTGAACACAAAAAATTAATAGGGCGGCACAGTGGCTAAGGTGTCCGTTTATGACACAGAGATTAGCTGCGATTCAAAGGATCGCAGCTACTCTCTGATCATTCACAGTTTATGACACTCAGGAGATCAGCGGAGAACATGTTCAGCCCTTCACTGGAGATCTGTGTTCTCCCTCCAGATTCTCCAGCCCAGAGCTGGAGAATTGGAGGAACTGCAAACTAAGGTGTCCGTTTATGAACCAGCAGTAATAGATCACTGCTCAGTTCTCCGGCATTCTCGGAGAACACAGTTCTCCTGTGAATGCCTTTTATGAAGCGGTGTAGATCAGTTCTCCAAACGAAGGGAGAACGGTCTACAAACGCTGGAAAATGGCTGATTTTACTATAATCTCGCGAGATTACAGTAAGAGATCAGTTTACTAAACAGAGGTAAATTATTGCTGCTTAGGTGTCCGTTTATGAACCAGCAGTAATAGATCGCTGCTCAGTTCTCCTGTGAATGCAGTTTATGAAGCAGTTCTCCAAACGAAGGGAGAATGGTCTACAAACGCTGGAGAACGGTCTACAAACTCTGGAAAACGGCTCATTTTACTATAATCTCTCGAGATTATAGTAAAAGATCAGTTTACTAAACAGAGGTAAATTATCTCTGCTTAGTTTTTGGTCTCTCTGATTCTCCAGCTCTGGGCTGGAGAATCTGGAGGGAGAACACAGATCTCCAGAGAAGGGCTGACATGATCTCCTGAGTGTCATAAACTGTGAATGACCAGAGAATAGCTGATATCTGTTGAATCGCAGCTATTCTCTGTCATAAACGGACACCTTAGTTTGCGGTCCCTCCGATTCTCCAGCTCTGGGCTGGAGAATCTGGAGGGAGAACACAGATCTCCAGTGAAGGGCTGAACATGTTCTCCTGAGTGTCATAAACTGTGAATGACCAGAGAATAGCTGCGATCCTCTGAATCACATCTATTCTCTGTGTCAAAAAAAAAGAACACCTAAGCAGCGATAATTAATTAATTTTCTGCTTAGTAAACTGATCTTTTACTGTAATCTCGCGAGATTATAGTAAAAGCAGCTGTTTTCCAGTGTTTGTAGATCGTTCTCCCTTCATTTGGAGAACTGATCTACACCGCTTCATAAAAAGGCATTCGCAGGAGAACTGTGTTCTCCGAGAATTCCGAAGAACTGAGCAGCAATCATTTACCGCTGGTTCATAAACGGACACCTAAGTGGTTAGCACTTCTGCCTGGAAGTGCTAGGGTCGTTGGTTCAAATCCCAACCACAGCACCACCTGCCTGGAGTTTGCATGTTCTCCCTGTGCCTGCGTGGGTTTCCTCCGGGTACTCCGGTTTCCTCCCACACTCCCAAAGACATGCTGGTAGGTTAATTGGCTCCTGTCTAAATTTGCCCTAGTATGTGTATGTATGAATGTAAGTTAGGGACCTTAGATTGTACACCCCTTGAGGGTTAGGGACTGATGTGAATGTACAATATATATATGTAAAGCGCTGCCAACTCAGTTTCTGGTTTCAAGATCTTGCTTGGCTGAAGTTTCAGATAAAAAGCCTAGAAATGAATCCTAAAGTAACAAGAACGTACGGCATGCACAATTGTGTATTTTATCCTTTTGCCTTAAGATTAAATGACCTTTATTGGGTAAACCAGTGTTATATCTTTGTTTATTTGTTTTGTTTATACAACTTAATTTTACTTTTTATTATACAGATTTAAGGGTCAGCAAAACAACCAAGCAACTAAAAGGTCAGCAATGGCAGTCCATATAATTTTCTTATGATATATGTTCATACATTTACCAAGATAAATTTAACTGCTTTGCTGAGAAAAAAGAATTTATTTAACAAGTTAGGCTGGCCTTACACCTGTATAATTTGATTTGAACATTTGACAAGAAGGTATTAAAATTTTCTGCCTGACCATTCGATGGTGCCTTTATGGCTCAAGAATTTTGAACAACTTTTTGTTCTAGTACCAGGGAAATGTCACAATTTTCATAGAGCAAACATTCTACTTCCAGATTTTAATTTGACAAGTAAATGCTCAAAAAGCCAGCCATACATGGATCGAAATTCAGCCAGTTCTGCAGAGACCAGACAAATTCGATCCATGCATATGGGCTGGTTGGTTGTACAGAATTCGATCTAAAATTCGACATCTGAACAACGAGCCTGTTGGAAAATTTTCTCTTGATCAGCATTGCCGGCTATAGCTGGTGGTACTGATGAGTATTCTGACAGTAGGAAAGTCTCCTTGCTGTCAGAATACAAAGGCTCAGTGCTAGGGATTGCCCCATGCACATCAAGTCATCTTCTTTTGTTGCAACCACTGGTTGAAGGAAAAAAAAAAAAAATAAAAATTACTCATGCATGGTTAGTTGGGTACACACTAGAAGTTTTTTTTGTTCAATCCAGTAGGCCGAAAAGTGATAAATCACTGTACTAACACTAGAGATGTTCGTGCGGGGAAGCCAGTCGTAAGACAAACAATTATACACATGGGCATAAAGTTGACCAGTTCCTTCCAAACTAACAGTTTTTGGCCGATTTGTATCCAACGTAAGACATAGCTTTTCTCAGTTGGGAGCGAATTGAGCTGAATATTTGCTCATGAACATTAGATTCAACAAAGATTTTCCATCCTTGTCCTTCTAATTTTTTTCTGCTTGCTTTGAAACCGATTGTTCTGAAAACATAATTTTTTTTTTTACAAAATTCAACAGGTATACGGCCAGCATAAATATCAGGTTGCACACACAGCTGATTGAGTCAGAAAAGTAATCCCCGAACTCTGCTGTAGTCTCTCTATTGCTAAGGACACTTGAGTCATTCAACAGAAGACCATACAGAATATTACTAAAAGTTACATTTTTGCCTGGGGTATATTGGTAATTTAAGAGGAACATATAATGTATCTTCTGAGGAGGAAGTATGTTTTGTTATTATCAGTATTATCAGTATTTTTTGTAGGAAAGATTATACATCCAAGGAATTGATCACAAATCTGTACCTGGATCAACTTTTCTACTTTTTCTAAATCGAGTATTAATATTACAAAAAAGATAATGGATGCCAATATGGAGCATTACCACATCAAAAGCTAGTATGAGATCACATTAAATGAATTGTTTTATATTTAGAAAACATGAATTAAGTTAAAAAGATATTCATATCACAAGCCTTGATATGGCTGTTTTTCATATATTACAATACATTACTATACACCACAGATAATCATGTGTATGTATCAAGGTTCATTTTTTGCCCTAATTCCCCATCACCCCACCCTACCATCACCATCTTCAAAAACATTTTTATATCTCATTATTGAACAGTTTACATAACAGAAACATTCCATTATTTTGTGTGCTGTTGAGATGGGGTGGGCAATTCCAGCAATAGCATGATCATTCCATGGTTGTCCGCTTAAGGACTGCCCACAGTATATTTACTGCTGCAGGGTGGCCCTTGACTACACTTATACAGTTAGAACACTCTAGGACACATTTAACCCCTTGATCGTCCCCCCCCCATTAACCCCTTCGCTGCCCTGTCGCCAGTGTCATTATTACTGATTTTTTGCTGATCACTGTATTAGTGTCGCTGGCGTCTTTAGATAGCGCTAGTGTCAGTTAGCGCCCCTCCCAGATAGCGTCAGATTGCCCGTCAGTACACCAGTCATCACATTTAACCCCTTGATTGCCAGGAACACGCTCACATACACAATAAACCTCCATTGCTAGTATAGTATAGCACTATACCAGCATTCACATTAGTATAGCATCCCCAAAAATGCAGCGTAAGTGGGATCAGCCCCGGCACCTGCCAGCACCTGCGTTTAGCCCCTACGCTTACCCCCCCTTCTCCAGTGTCAGTAGGTCACTGTCACTTGATACACTGCACACAAAACCGCAATGTTCGCAGGATCAGGCCTGATCTCTGTTAGCACTTGCTGGCAAATTTTTTGTAGCGGTTCAAGCAGTTCCTGACAGCCAAGTGCTCTTTTTCCTGTCGCACTAGGTACCTATAAATGTAATGTCCAAAATGTCCAACGAAAGGTACTCTAGTGAAGAGGCCTACAGGATTCTGAGCATGTCAGATGAGAGCAAAGGGAAAGATTCACTGACAGAATACAGTTCAGAATATGAACCTATAGACAACAGCGGCACCCTTACAGATGGCTCAGAGGATGAAGAAGAGGTCCCTGCTAAGATCAGGCTTACCCAACCCCATTCCCAGGTTGCTGAGATGTTACAAACGCATGATGACTCTCATATGCAGCAGAGTGCCAGTACTAGTGCTGCTCTACCTTTTGGTGAACTGGCGAGCACCAGCAGCTTAGTATATCCTGGTCTTTTTGTATACCAGCACTGCAGTATCACTTGGTGACGTGGCGAGTCCCATAAGTGCAGTATAAGCTGGTGAGGTGGCGAGCACAAGTAGTGTCCCGCAGCCACCAAGAAATCGCACAAAGGCACATAGAGCCCCTAGTGTCCTTCCGGACGTGCTTGCAAATCCAAATTGGCAGCCCACAAATTCTGCAGCACCCGTACTTCCCCCATTCACTGCCCAACCCGGAATTCAAGTGGAAACAGCAAATTTAAATGCTCCCCTTGATATTTTGGAGCTGTTATTCACGGAAGATCTGTATGCATTGATTGTGGATCAAAGCAATTTATATGCACAACAGTTTATCTCTGCTGACCCAGATTCAAACTTTCCCAGACCATTCGCATGGAAACCCATTACGGTTTCCGAATTTAAAGTTTTTTTGGGCCTAACCCTCAACATGGGCATTACTAAGGAAAAGTAAATTGCGGTTGTATTGGTCCACAGACCCAATTCATCATATGCCCATGTTCTCTGCTGCCATGGCCAGGCATAGATATGAGAGTATAATGCGTTTTATGCATTTCAAGGACAGCACACTCTGTCATCCTCGGGGTGACCCTGCAATTTTGCTGCACAAAATTCGGACCCTCGTAAATCACCTTAACCAAAA